TGCAATATGCGTTTTTGCTGCCTGTTGCAGCGCTCTAGCACTGCACGGCAAAAACGCATAAAAACCACAAATCATTATTTGGTATATTATGCGACAAGATTTATATAACAGCACTATGCTCTGGCTTAAAGATGGTAGTTTTATTCTGCAGGTGGAAAGCCATTCCTACGATTTGTTCATTCATTTTGTTGATAAATTAATGCTAGCGTATATTAGTTATTCAAAGCCGTATTCAACTGGCCTCACAGCGATTCTTAAAAGAGAATGCCATCAGCAATTCTGCCAGTGAGCGGCTGCTTTTGGCAATGTGCTATCAAGCAGGCTACTGCCGTGTAGCTTCATTTCTGTGGAATATTTTTTATGAAAACGGTTTTGAATTTGTTGCCCATGCAGGAAATCACAGGTAGAGAAGTAAAATCTGTTTTACTACTAATTTTCTTGTGCATAAAACTTGCACTTTAAGATGGATTCGAAGGCAGCGTATACGTGTTACAGTACTGAAATGGGCAGAAGCGGATAAGAGCAGTGCCGAATCAGACGATGATTGTTATGATCAGTGTGTCAGACTGCGAAAAGCAAGGTAAGCGGTCTTTGCTGTTCACAATTCAATTCGCAGTCAATTCCGTGAACCGTAATATAAGTAGACAAATGTGCACTTAGGACTGAATTTTTGGGTTTACCCACATTGACAGCTTTGAAACAAGTTGGAATGCTACCGCACCGCAGTATTAAAGTAGCACAGATGTCTGTCGTGCTAAACAGGCGAAAACTGTGATTGTGAAACGGGAGAGCTGAACTCTGTGGTGTATTTGGCGACGTGAAGAAATTGTTTTCTACAGTTCAAAGTGTAGTAGTGTACAATATGACCTGTTTCAGAATGTTTTTGCACGATAACAGTAATCCGGAGTATCCGCTCTTAGCGCTCAATGATGTGTTCATCGGTGAAAGTCATGCGGCCAGAGTTAGCTACTATGATGTGCAAATTGATGATGGTCCAGTGATGCGTCAAAAAAGCTCTGGATTGACTGTTTGCACCGGCACTGGCTCCACATCATGGTTAGATCTCTCTTTTTGCAGCCAGATACCTGGGGCTTGGGAATGTGAACGTAGAGAGCTTCTTTTTTTTCCTGTTTTTTCATGCTGTTTTTCTGAAATACAGTGTTCGTAAACACTGCATCCAAAGAAAAAGTAATGAATCTATTAAATGTGGCTGACGACCATCAGAATTCAGTCTTTTGTAATTCAAGCTCTTTTTAACAATCTTGATTTCACTGACTGCAGGGAAGTTTTTCGCGGTACATTCATTAAATGACCAGAAACGCTGCCAGCATCTATATATATGTTAAGCTGCAAAGTAACTAGCTCTCATACTGTTAGCGATTTGTTTGCTTCAAGATTTGTGCAAAAACGCATAATCGCATCGGCAACCTTGATGCGCATCGCCACTGATTGTTCAAAATAAAAAGGCAGACAGCGAAGAACAGAGCAAACATCTGATCTAGAAATGTGTTGTTTCTGTCTTAAATCTAACAAGCTGCCACGTCGTACACAGATTTTCCAGTTTGCCTGTATGGACTTTGAACTCAGTCGACACTGGCTGAAACTGTTTCATAGATTCCTGTTAATGTTACATTTATTGAAATACCCTGATTGTGTGATAAGCTCGATGGTATTGATATCAGCCTTGTCAATGCGGTAGGCATCATATTATTGACTATAAATCCTCATTATTAGTATCAGACCCACTACATAAGCTCTATGTGTTTTCAAAAACGATTCGAGTGACAAAAAGGATCGTCTTCAGCCGAACGGATGCCACTGATTCTTATTCGATCTCCACCAGTTTCAGCAAAGCGCCGAATAAAATCTGTTTTTATGCTTATACGTTATCCAGCAATATTTACGATATTTAAACGAAATTCTGAAAATAAAAAAAATTTTTTTAAGGAATTATAATATCAATCGTGTATCTGAACAGCATATATGTGAACTTTTGTCAATTATGAAGGATATGAGCTTGCTCACGGCAAATTCAACAGCTGATAATAGCACACGGGAAATATGCAAACGTTTCAACGAAAAACTACTTTTTGATCCTCAGTGTACAAGTACATTCTCTTTGTTTACCTATTCAGTTTTACTACCAAAGTTGATTAAAACGGAAACGCCGACTTTTGTGTCAAATGTTTTTGAATTTTTTTAAATTCCCTTCTCGATCCTTCAGGTCTTTTCGGGCTCTTTACTGATTCAGTGCATCAAGAACACTAAACTTCCCTTGGACAAACGGTCAGGGGATGTCTTGTTAGTGGTGTTACTTGGATACTTCCACTTGCTGGGTGCAGCTGTGCCAAGTCCCCCGATAATTGATGCATACCTCTGGTTAATACCCATCGACTGTTCAGTCTAAATGCGCTTCCTCCTCGGATGCCACCTCGAGCGACCGATTTCCTTTACCGAACCACTCAATAATACATGGCGTGTCGGCAAGATGACATACTGATAAAATGACAAAATGCCAAAAATAACACGCTCCGCCCCTCAAATGTTGCGTCTCGAATAGTCATTGTGACACCCGGCACACCGCAGAACTAACAGAGAGCCAACTGTTTATTCGGCGGCGAAGATAGTGTGAAATCTGCACCGGGCGACAAGCCTGCGGCTGGAGATTGTGGTGATTATTTACTCTCTGCGAAGACGTAGCTGTCAACTTCTTACACACCAACACTGCCCATCATTAATCTGTCCATGGACATACCGGCGCTTTGCATCACCTTTTTCGATGCATTAATTTTCAGGCCCATATCCTTTCTTCACGCTTCGAGCTGGAGCATCTTTCGTTTGGAAAATGTGCAAATTTGAAAACAGCATGTGTTGTTATGCGTTTTTGATTATATGCAAATTGCAAAAACGCATATTATGTTTGTATGTGTGTGTTTGTGTGCATTCGTCTGTCCGGGTATTTCAACTAAGCAACCAAGCAAGCTCCGGAGCCCAAATTTTGTTAGTGGATTCCACGGTCAAATGCCACCCCAGAACCGCGGTACCAACCATCACGCAAGTCTAGGTCCCGCGAACGAGAGAACGAGAAATCTGAAACTTTGAGTTTATGTTCTCCGTCCATATAGAACTGAAAGATTTCAAATTCAGCCCCAGGTGTGTGTTGCTCCCGCGCATGGTCCCGTGAGGGGTCCTGGCGCAGAAATCGCTAACTTGGGAACCAGGAAAGCTGGGAGGCTGAAATTTGCAGGGAATGTTCCAAACACATGAACAACTTAAAGTTATCAAATTTACCCACCAGGCATGCGTGGTTCTCATGTACGGCCCCGTTAAATTTTTGGGAAAACGGCTAGCTCGGGAACCAAGAAAGCTAGGAGGCTGAAATTTTAAGGGGATGTTCACAACCCACGTACAACTTGAAGATTTCATACCGCGTCCCGAGGTATTTTTGTAGGTCACATGCGGCTCTGTGAAAGCTTTGGCGGGAAAATTGCTAACTCAGAAACCAGAAAAGCTGAAAAGCTGATATTTTAGGACAACATTCCCTGTCCAAATACAGCTTAAAGGTTTCAAGTTCATCCTCCACGTAAGAATGGTTCTCGTGTATGAGCTCTTGAATTTTTTTTTACTCATTGAACAGCTGGGTCATTTTTTAAAAACGACCACTAAACGGAAATTGTTTATTTCTGCTTGTGCAAGACCTACGATGATTTACGGTATTGAGCGCACAAGGTAGGTGTGAAGGAATAACTGTTCTTGCAGTTAACCTAATTAATTCAAGTTCGGTGCAAAAACGCATGATCGCATCGGCTCGTCTGGTGTGTTCCAGCTTGGATTTTATTACTTAAGCTCGGTTTTTTTATTCAGAATTTTCACGTTTTGCACTTTTTTACCGAAATTGCGAGGCTGCGCGTTTGTAGTCTAAATTGGTCTTGTCTTGCAGCGTTCTGGCCAGTTGTTGATTTTTTCTGTTTGGTGAGAAATCCCCTCTGATGTGGTTATTTGTTCAGCAAAGCATAAAAAGAATGCTCTTCTAGTCTCATCTCATGTTGAGGCCGATCCTATTCTTTAAGTCATAAGGCTTTCATCTTCATCTTGCGTTTTTTAAATGTAATCAAAAAAAATTATGCGTAATGGAATTTACAGCGATGGCATTCACAGTGCGTGATCCAGTATTTAATCTAACTTTCCCAGCGGGAACGCAGCGTGGTTTTGCAAAAAGGATACGAGTGAAATCGAGATGTACAAATGCTCATATTATTTTGGATGGTAGTGTTTCTGTACCTTTCAATTCAGGAACTGAAGTACTTCTCCAGATTCACGACAGCGATGCATTACGTTCCATTGTTTTACCGTGATCCTTGAAGGATAATGAAGGAACTATATTGCTATGATAGACTGAAATCTGCGCATGGTGTCTGCGATGCTAAATTAATGGAGGTAGCCAGCGGTACAATGTGGCTGTATCAGACAGTTTTCTCAGGAATCACTGCTTTCAGGGCACACATAAACTCCTTCTTCCGGAACCTTTGATTAGTTTTTTTTGCCCCTCACTGTATTACATTGAGATGCTGCAATATGTAATGGTGCCTCATTTTTGATAAATATACCATCTTTTTGGCGTTTGATTGCTAGGTGTTGAATTTCTCTATGTTTCCATTTACTTTTTAGTACAGTTTTAACTAAAATTCTTTTACTCAAACTTTGCGCTGCCCGCACTTTTCTGGTCAATTTTTTAAGCAGTTTGTGCTGTGTAACAGCAGTACAAAACGCATATTGTCACGGGGTTGTCTGTGTGTGTTTTTGTGT